TCCAATGTAAGCTTATGTAAAGATGACTCAAGCGATAATCTTAAACAATTTTGAACATTTCTCATCCTGACCATTTGTAGATCCAAATGCTCCTTCATTGATTTTCTTTGCAAAAGATTGTACCAACCCATGGCAACACCGACTTTTCTATTTGGCATTTTGTATCCCATTGCCTCAGTTACCTTGATGGCCTCTTTTTTTTTTTCTTGCTGTAGACTCTGATTGAGTGTTACCAACAAAATGGCCTGCAAGGCCTTATTTGGCTGGCTCCGGTAGACACGATCTTTCGATAATTTTTGAATTTGTGTTGGAGTGTAAGTATCAAGAAAAGAAAAAGAAAATTACTTTAGACTCTGGGGGAGTTTTACAAGTGGAATGCCATAAAAAAAAGTTTAGCAAAAATGCTGTTGTCAAGGAAATTCTTCACTAATCAGCAATTGAAAAGGGTGGAAAAATACTTTTAAATGATTTCATATGTGTTGCTTTGGATTACAATGTAAGCTAATGGACTGATGAGGAAGAAACCACATTGCTGACACATGCACAGGAGAAATTTGTTCAGGGATGAGGGCTTTCACTCTCTTCTTAGTGCTCATTTTGGCATTGATTTTACAATCATTTCTTTTTTCAACCTCGAACTTTGCTCTAAATTTCTTATTTACACATCAGAATCAAATGTCTTTTTCCGGGCAACGATAGAAAAATCTAAATATGATATACCTATACTAAACCTATAGAGTGTCCCCTTTGTCAAATATGTAGAATTTTGCTTTTTTTAGAACTTTAGTTGAAAAAGATGGCAATTTTTTTTAATCCTGTTCCACTTTATAAGTTGGAAGTGCCTGACAAGCCACCACCACTACCCCAAAAGCCAATGTGGCCGTAGTACACAAAGAAAACTGAAGTAGAATATCATGTTTAGCGCATATGTAACTGATATATTCAACTCATTGTAATCGGAGGTGACAGGATTTTATAAAAAGCCTTAAATAAAGTAAATTGTCATGCTGTGTGGAATTTCCCTCGACATCAACCAGCCCATAATAATATTTTTCATGAGATTTTTTTCCCCAAGCACTATGAGGAAAAATATTCTGGTACAGTATGTGTTGTTTCTGTAAAAATCACTGTATCACTGAAAGTAACCATCTGCTATACTGTCAAAGATACAGGACTAGAAAAGCTTCAGCCCATTAATCTGCAGAGCAAAAGATACAGTTATTCCAAAATAAAACATCTGTTCCCCGTCATGAGATTTAAACCTCACAAAAAAACACCAATTTACAAACGAAGACTACACATTAGATTGGAATGTGAGCCACTAATTCCTCAAAGGACTTTTTAATAGCTTTTCATTAATACTGTTTTTTATAATTTCCTCTTTCAAATGTTCACGTTTTTATGTAAAATTATGATTATGTGTCAAAATATTTTTGCTGCAGTGTATTGAAAGCTCTTTCCTTTGACTTTGTGTGAGAAATGAATAACTGTCTGTGCTGTAGGTCATTGGCAATTGAAATGCAGTATGGCAATGAACAGCAGTCACTTAAAATGGTGAGCATGATGAGAGTATTTAGACCTTTCTGTTAACATTATTAATTTGTTTTATGTTGTAATTGTTTTCATCATTAAAACATCACATAACAGCACCAAAAATAATCATGAATGGCAAAAACATCCATTTGATGGAATTTGATATCAACCAGATTGATATACCTAATCTTTTTTGTGTATTACATCAGGTTAAGTTTATAAAATGGTTTTGGTTTTTAACTTTTATTTATGCCTTTTTCCATTATAGTTATGGAATAAAACCATTCAAAACACCTGCTTCTGTAAAGTCCAGAATGTGCGTGAACATTAGACAATCTAACTGTTAGTAACTTGTTTAAAAAGACATTTTTAGGCATATGGGCTGGGGAAAAGCCCTCTGGTTTTAATATACACTGCAGTGGTGTGTTTATCCATATGTAAACACACTCGGAAGATAGCCCCCATACAGCAACAGCTGTTCACCCCCAACAGAGTTAAACAAAGCATTACATAAACCCATCTTTGTAATATAGTGCCCGAGAGGACACTGGGTGATTTTTAAGTTCACATTCTGGTTGTGTGGCATGTCCTACCCGTAGTTAAAGACTCTTAGCTACATTGACGTGATTAGAGGTGTTGCCTACAGATTGAACATAACCCTGTAAGGCATGTGGCTTCCTATTTCTCTCTTCTTCCTCACTTAAATGCTTTTCCATTACTTTCTTACTTTGAAATAACCCACAAACAGCTGGATTAAGAGTGTGAGGTTAGTGTTAGAATTTATGTTTACCTCTAGAAAATACACAGTGGAGAATTTAAAACTGTGGATACGTAACCCATAACTTCTACAATAAAATTAACTGCTGCATGCACAATTATATATTTGGCTTTGAGTTGTTTCAGTATTTTTGCAAAATATTAGCTGTAGAATAATTTCTTCACAAAGTAAGCAGTGCACTTGTGGATATGGTTTTTATACTTTTAATAATTATTAATCATGGAAGTAATCATCAAACTAAATAATCAAAATTGTAAATAAATTGTTCTTTACAGATCTATTTATTGCATAATGTATGCATAAACATCCTTTGTTTCTCACATGATCTTCATTTAAATGAGGCCGGGCCGGTGAGTCAGTTAAAAAGAAGAGAACAATGGATATTTTATTTGCAGTATGATTTGGAAAAAGATTCTCAGAGTTTTTGTCAAATACAACATGCTAGCAGCCGTGACTATTACAACCTGATGTGTATTGTTTGGCATCTGATTTTTAAAATCAGTAAGTGGTACTTATTGGGAAATACTTCATGGTCTCATTCACTATAGCCCACACCATCAGCAGTTTAGCCCCATAGTTATGTTCGTGCAGGCCTATTTTTAGGCTAAATTATATTTTTTGTTTTCCTGCATTGTGGCTTAAACTTTATGACAACCATACAGATATCCTTATGGCAACCAAATCCTGATTAAGGAACACTCCTTAGCTATCCTGGGAGAATATCGACAAGCTCTGAAGTTTGTATTATTTCCCTTTCTTGATCACAGATTAGTATCCTGAATAGCTTCCTTATATGTAAAACCGAAGTGGTTTTAAATGAAACTTTGATTTATTTTATATTTATTTCACAGCCCACCTGTCTGACCACAATCCAAAAACAAGACTCTTAAAACAGAGAGCTTGATCACTGTTAGTCTAATACCCAGTCATTATGCACTAATAACCGTCATTTATCCACGAGGCTTTTGTTATCCCTCTTAAATGAGGCTTGATAAGAAATTTGTCAATTGTCAGGACACTCAAACTTGCAGCAGTCCATATGTTTCAATAAAGAATTATTTTCTCTCTGTGACTGTGTGTGTTGCTTTAGCTACTGGATGGGGTAACCCTAGTCACTTGGCTCCTCAACACCTGTGTTTACTTTGGGGCCTCGGCCCCCATGAACCAGCAGCAATCCTTCACTAACTCAGAAGATGAAGTGAGGTTTTAGCCTCCAAATATGTGCTGTCCCTGCACTTTTACCACAATGTAAATTCTCTAAGACTTTCATTATAGGGCACAGTTTAAATTACTTGTGTAAATCATAGTTATTCTTCAAATTCTAAATTTGAACATTTAAATAGTCTTATGCAGTTGAAGAGCTCTGAATTTGGAATAAAACTACTTCTATTTGCTCTTTCTTCCAGTGTAGGAGACAGAACTTGATTCAAGATTAAAGAGACAGATGATGACAAACTGGCAGGTGTTTTCAGGGAAGTTTCATATTTTTGCTTTACCCTCACAAAGAGTGCAAAATGTTGAAGAAAATATTGTACACATTAATCATTAGGCAAAATTATTGAAGGACATTTAATGAAAATAATAAAAACCTTGAGGTTATGTATCAGGTACATGATGTGAACTCATAACATAACTCTGTCACTTTGAAACTGAGAAACTGTGAAATAGAAATGTGATCTATATGTATTATTCTATGGTAACATGTCAAATCAAAACACACAAGTAAAAAATTTACTTTGAAGTATCCATAAAACTTCTTGAGATTAAATAGAGATTAACGGTTTAATGGTAAATAAGGGTTTCGTGTTAGAAAACAAGACAATTAAAAAAAGTTGCTTTTTATTAGATTTTTATTAGATTTTTATTAGACCAGTAGGCTCACACTGGTCCTCGATGATCAGAAGACTCAGTATCTGTCAGTCAGTGCGCCCGGATGAAATCTGTTAAATAAGAAAGTTTCAGTGCAGATTATCATTTCAGGAAGCTGTGATTTTTTGGTTAGTGTGCACTTAATGTAAGTATACTTTAAAGGAATCAGAGTTGTATAAGTCTTTGTCTATGTCTGTTTTATGCTTTTAAAATGTCAACTTGGTGTGGCTCTGATGACTATTTTGCACAGCTGATTCTGGATTTGTGCCAGGGTTATGTTGCTCATACTGCAGCCTTAACTGTTCAAATATTAAGACCGGTGTTTTCTCAGGTGTGGACACATCTGTGCCAAAATTCTTGTTTCCTTTGGAACAGGTTAGCCTTAGGATAAAAAGTTGCCCAAGTGTCAAGTCTTGGTAAATATTCTGCATGTTTTCTTTTACCAATAAAAAATAGGTATTATAATCATATTATTAATATTTTCTTCTATGAGATTAAGTTTTGTCTAATGAAGGGAATTCTCTTGACAGCTCATGCGAGGAACTGTGACTTTTTACATGCTGATTTGAGAGTTTTTGCTTACAGTCCTGCTTGGAATTCTCAAGTTAAAAATCCTAAATCTTTTATAATCCCAACCAATTCTATGTTGTTTTAGTTGATAAATCAAATTTGAACTGAGGTAGGTAAGGGGTTTTTAAAGCTACAATGTTTTTAAGGGTAAAAATTTCCCATAAATAAAATACCAATAAGGCCTTGTGTGACTATTTTTTTTTCAGATTAAGAGAAACATTTCAAACCGTTTGAGTGTTGTCTTTTCCAGGACACTGGCAAGTGCAGGAAAAGAACTCAAAGATAACTTCCTGAAATCCCTGGCAGAGCGAGAGGAGGCCAACCGCAGTGGGAAAATGACTGTGAGTACATTATTACAGCACTCCAATTGCTACGTAATGGGATTCCCCTCAAATATTTCTGCAATTCCATTAAGATGGGAACAAAATCCATACTGTGTCATGTTGAGTGGAAATGCCCCTCCAATCCAAGCCCTCCTGAAATAGCACGAGAGCAAGTTCCCTCTCCCAACTATAAAAACTTTTACTAAAACTGCTTTGTTTTCATTGTGCCTTTTTGTAATTTAGCTACTAAAATTAGTATTAAATTAGGAGCTGGAGCATAATGAAAATAGGTATTAAGAGCACAGGTTTAAGTCTTTCCATTATGTATCTTATTTAACTTATTCTGAACTTTAACTGCATGATAAGGATTACAGTTTAAGTCATCCATCTGAACTGTGTTTCAAAAACTGTTTTCATAAACTGTATAAAAGGTACAAATGTCTTCAGATCTAAATCTATCATTATTTCAAGTCATTTTAAAACAAAGGGAAAATGTTCTGTCACTTTATCTGTCCAGTTCTTTCTTTCAGTAGAAGGCTGTTTGGTTACTCAGTTCAGGTTCTCTGTTACTTCAAGATCTTTGACATAGCAGAGTTACAATATGTCTCAGAACTCATGGTAAAGATGTGGTTGATGCAAAAATAAGACTGTCTTAATCGCTCGGCTTGCTGCTGAGGTATCGCCATCTAGCTACAGGTAAAATGCACACTTCACTTAGGAAGTACAGGCTCTTGAAATATTAAAGTTGTGCCTTTTAAGTGCAAAGATGACATCTTTGTACATAAGGGTGTATCGGTGTTTCCTCAGATGCAACAATCTGGCCTTGCTGAATCAGCTTTGGAACAGCAGCGTCTGTGGTTAGACTGTACCATACTCAAGCAGACCTCTCCTGGCTGCTCAGAGGCTGGCCAGAGGTGAATGGACCTCAAGCCCCCACTTTGCCTTTAATGTATGAAAAGGACTGATTATGTTCTGGTGACTCGGATATGACTCGGACCACTGTTAATATACCTAAAAGGGGTTGATGTGTTATTGTTTCTGGCTGTGCTGTGCTGATCATTTTGCACATTACAGTACTTGCTGGATGAAATGCACGACAGCTGCTAGCGGTGGCTCTCCGACAGCTCTTTAATGCTGTTCTAACAGCCTTCGTGGTAGTTTTCTATCTCTCTTGTTTGTCCAAAGGGAAAAAAAATCATGTATCAGCCAGGCTATGACTATAATTAGAGTTCTAGATTTACAATAAACTTGAACTTATTGTTAGTATTGGGATATACTTACTCGCTTTAGCATAGTATGTTATAAGAAATATAATTCCTTTTTAGTTTTATATTATCCCCTTTATAATTATACTTTTGGGTTAAACTCTCTGGCTGTGCCTACTCGTCCTCCTCGTCTCTCTGTTACAGTAGATACACATCTTCAAGGTCAACATTCACACACACACTTTCTTATCACATTCCACCAACATCTGCTGATTTAGGGGTTGGCCTGTTCATGTCAGAGCTAACTGGCCAATAACACTCGGTTGCGTCCAGCCGTCCTCCTGTACGAAGCCCGGCCCAGAAGATAACTGTCCATCTCATCCGGAATTCAAGGCTCTTGCCGACTGAGATCCTCCGGGAGCTTTGTCTGTGAGAGCCCAGCGCTGATAAATGTTTGTAATGTCATGTTTGTAATCAGGCTTCTAACTAAAGAATCGGGCTAACATTATTTTAATTTTTTTTAATTTTCCTCAGAGATCAATAAAGTATTTTTATTAAATGTATTTAAATCATTTATTTAATTTCTTTTTTAAAAGTGGTAAAGTGAGATTTGTTCACATTTGAAGAGCACTGGGTTTTGGTTTGTTCCTTGATTTTACATAAAAAATTACCTATTAAGTGCCAAGAGATAATATGGGATAATGTTAATGTCTCCTGTTAAGATGCCTCTGGGAACTGGGGCTTTTTTAAATCATAGTATACATTTTTAGTCTTTTTAGGGGTTCCATTGCTCAACAAAGAGTACTCAGCTCTTTATTACAACTGCAGATGTCCTGTTACTCTGTCTCTGCTGGCAAAGGTGTTAGTTTGGGCAGAAGCCCTCATTTCTGCAGGCTTCTGCTAATAAATTTCTTTAAAATGTCAGTTGAGGCGATTCTTAAAAGTGAAAGACTTTCAATATTTGTATTTTATCTTATGAACTTGTGCTGTCACTTCAACCTGTGAGCAAGTGTGGGAATTTGATTTGGACTTTCTGGAAACCTGCAGCGTGTTTACAAGTCATGTCTGAATCAAGCTTAGTTGTTTAATGGATGTTTCTTTTTGGATCATTCTGCTTTGTAGAACTTAGGTGAGCTATGGAAATATTTGACTTGTCTTCCTGTTTTGCTTGTGATTATTATACTGTACTGCATTCCTTTGGAGCATTGTTCTGCAGAGACTGCTAGTTATTCTCTTCCAATAAGCAGAAACAAAAACTTACTTGACTTCTATTTACAAGCCCGATAGGCTTTGCAATTAGGAGATCACATGAAGTGTTTGGGAGGGGGTAGAGTTTGAAAGATTTAAACTTTTTCCTCTGGATGTTTACTGTGTTAACACTATAATGCAATATGTTTTAGCCTCCTAATAACCTAAAATACTCAAAAGCAAGGAGAAAATACCGGTAAAAAGTATTTTCTGCTATATGTGGAGAAACCCTTTATAATCTAAGCAAACAAAATACCAGAACTCATCTCACTAACCCTGTTCTACTGATTATATTTTCCCAGCTCTGAGGCACTTTCTTTGTGGAAATTGGGCTGGGAGATGTTTATTTTCCTTTGAATCCCATTCTGTTTAAAATTAAGTATACATTTGTCCGCTCAATACTTCTGCTTTTTGAAACTGTTTACGGAACAGGTAATCTTTAATACAATTTGAAGAGGCTTGACCTCATTGGTATATTTACATTACACAGTTATATTCCAGGCAAAATTAGCACATATGCAGGTGCATACGTTATGTCCTGTTTCACACACCCATATCACCTAGCACGTTTAGTTTTTGGTATTCTCATGTTCATTTTCTGGAATGTATATATGTGTCAGAGTGGTATTCATCCATCCATCCATTATCAATACCGCTTATTCCCTGATTCAATTCAATTCAATTTTATTTATATAGCGCCACATCACAACAACATTTGTCTCACAGCACTTTCAAAAAAGAGCAGGTCAGACCCTACTCTGAAGTTAACTACAGAAACCCAACAATTCCCACCATGAGCAAGCACTAGGTGACACAGGCAAGGAAAAACTTCCTTTTAACAGGCAGAAACCTTGAGCAGAACCATGGCTCAGGGTGGGCGGCCATCTGCCTCGGCCGGTTGGGGGTGAGGGGAAAGAGAGAGCAAGAGAGAGAGAGAGGGCGAGAGAAGGACAGAGGGAGCAGAGAGAGCTCTAGGAACACCTGCAGGAAGTGATAGGAGGAGACTCCCAACCACAGATCCAGACCCCACAGCTCCAGAGCCAGGAATATCTGCAGAAAGTGTTTGGAAGAGAGAGGAGAGAGAAGGGGGACGAGAAAGCACACGACTACGGGGAAAGAAGAGAGTCCAGTTAGTAACATTGTTAATGGAATGAGGTTGCACCGGGAGGGAGAGAGAGAAAGGAAAGGGGAGCTCGGTGCATCATGATGCATCCCCCGGCAGTCTAGGCATATAGCAGCACAACCAGGGGTGGACTTACTCTAACTATAAGCTCTATCATAAAGGAAAATCTTAAGCCTACTCTTAAATATAGAGTAGGCTTAAGATAGAGTGGGGTCGCGGGGGGAACTGGAGCCTATCCCAGTGGTCAGTGGTATTCATACTAACGCTAAATAGCACCTGTTTTCATACAGTTACAAATAGCAAACAATTATGCATTCTGAATATTTGACATTTTCATATTTCTTCTGTTTACACCTAAACACTTCTTATTTTGAAAATATCATATTCTACATGTTTGTTATTGACAAGATTTGATTATCGGACCATCCAAAGTATCTCATACTATTTAGCTCTTTTCTCTTTTCTGATTCTTCTTTTTTTCCCCCTTTTTTTCCCGCTGTTTGAATACATAACTTAACTTCCTATCATCAAAATTCCTAGATCCTAAGGATAAGTCCCAATAATATGTTCCAGGTCCTTATATCTGCAAAAAACAATCTTTTTCTTACGCTTGTTTTTTCTTAACTTTTTTTTAATTTAAAGTTTGCATTTTTTTTTTAAGGTGGTGTGTTGTAAGCACTATCACCTCACATTTTTCCAGTTCAAGTCCCCGGAGGACTGTGACCTTCCTGTGAGGAGTTTACTGGTTCTACCTGTTTCTGCATGGGTTTTCTCCGGGTACTCCGACTTCTTCCCACTGTCCAAAAACATGCATGTTAGGTTAATTGGACTCTGTGTGTGTGTATCTGTCTGTGTGGCCCTGCGATGGACTGGCAACCAATCTAGGCTGTACCTCATATCTTGCCCATTGTCAGCTGAGAAAGGCTCCACAACCCATCCCCACAACCCCTTTGGGACTAAGTGGTGTATAAAACGGATGGATGTTTTTGTTATTTTAGGCATTTCAATTAAAGTAGCATGTTAATTAATATATAAGTGGAGCAGATCCCACCCCCCCTCCTTTTTTTTTTACAAAGAAATTCACCCATTGTTGTTAAAATCTAAATCTTGTTTAAAAAAATCTTTTAGTTTACCCTTTTTAGGTCTTTGATTTTAAGGTCTGTTTTAAACTCAACAGTTAAAAATTAATCACAAATGGTTTTATACATTTTCCCACCCCATTATGGAAATATGACATGCAAGGAAGAAGAAGGTCACTGAGATATGGCTTTTACTTTCAGTCGAACATATTTGTTGTCATTTTTCCTCTCATTCATTAAAAAAGTCACCACTCCTTCCTGCTCTCATGTCACACTCTCAAGTCTGTTTGAAATTCTTTTCTTTTTCTGAAACTCCTCAGATCTTTTTAATTTATCTTTTCTCAATGACAGTCACAAATGAGC